TGTAACATTGTACTTACCAAAGCCATCCGCACATTGACCCAGTCAGCCATGGCAGTACGACAGCGCTCAAGGAGCAGATGTGCATGGACCACAGATGGCAGGCAGTGTGCACACAGTGACAACAAGATCAATCAATTGTTCGATCAGTGGAGTGCTGCCACTGATTTGAGCAGTCCTGAGATTTGTGCTTGGGATAAGTTTCCAACTATTCATGATTCGAAAAGGATATGTGCCAAACACTTGGCATGGCTGAACGATCAGATCAAAAAGTTCTTGCTCTATGATGCACTGTATTTTGATTCACAATGTGCAAAGTCGTGGAAACCTATGCTTCAGCTAACGTTTCCTTGGATGGAATGGATGCAAATTCATGACATGTTGTTCGCTCTAGTTTGCCGAACCTTGCACAACCGGCATATGGGAACTTGTTCCCTTGATTACATCGAGTATTTCTCAGGTCAAGCTGAACTGTCCAAATCGGGGATTAGATTTGGTCTTGAAGGCAGAAGCTTTGACTACATTTACACCTCAGAACATGATGCGTTGTCAAGACGCGGCTTGCGGCTTTTTTTAGCAGCCTTGGCAGGGACAAAGCCTCTTTCATTGACATGGTTTGGCACTGTGTGTTCGAGTTTCACAGTGTTGTGCCGTGCTCAGAGTTTGCGGCAAGAGTCAAACGGCTACGAAGGTGATACAAATCGTGCATTTGTACAGATTGGAAATGGGCTTGCCGCTGTGAGTGCTTTGCTTTACTTGCTCACTGCCCTCATGGGTAACATTCCAGCACTTGAGCAACCACTGAACTCCTGCATGCCGCTGTACTCAGTGGTGAATGCTGTTTTGACATTCTGCGAGACCTACAGAGTCACAACATACCATGGATCTTTCGGTGCAGAGACAGTGAAGCCACTGCAGATTCTGAGTCCATCGGCCAGGATTCATTCATTGATTCGCTCGAAGCCGTCTTTTTTGGCACCTTCTGATGATTCCTCTTTGGTCACTCGAGATGATTCTGGATCATTCACAGGGCAAAAACAGCAACTCACACAAAGCCAAGCTTACACCAGAGAATTTGGTGAAGCTGTCATCTCTGCTTTTTTTGGCTGACTCAGTCTGTGTTAGCGAGAAGTCTGAAGTGAAAATTCTGATCCATGCATTATTATCAGTAAAACGGTGCTCACTGATTTTACGTTGCTCACTCACTGTCACTCATTGATTGATTGATTCGCTATTACAGCTTTAATTAATACTGGTCAGCTTGGCAATTAATTAATGTGTGTGCTGATCTCCCTTTTTTGTCATTTGTGGAGCGATGCACCATGCATCGATCAAAACTTATGTGCTGAGCGACTCAACAGTCCGTGATGCACCTCAATTTGACGCTGAGCTGTGTCAAACAAAACATAGTTGCCAGTGCTCTCATTCTCAGTCAGAGCAAGTTTCTGAATTGTCACTGCCAAGCAATTGTTAATTAAATTATATATATATATATTTGGCTTTGTGTGTGTATTGCAACAAGAAGTGCCTGCCTTGCACCATTTCAAGTGTCAATTTCGCTTTCCAACGACGAGCTCAAGTGAAGTTTGCGATGACGTACAGGTCAGTTCACAGAGTCAGTCAACAATTTGCAGGGTCCATAGTAGTTAGACCGACTGACTGGAAATGAATTGACATTGCATTACTGAATCACTGAACAGTTTTAGTTTGACGCTATCAGTGATATCAGTTTGACATGATTTGATACAACAGTATCATACATGCCATGTGTTCTGAGGTGGAACTTTAGCTGCTGACTCGCTGTCACTGATGGATTGGAATCAGATCCAGCGCAATGAACAAATCATATGCGGCCACTGCACTTATTATAATACTGTTGATTCTTATCAATCTGGGTCAGGCAGGTCTGTCACTGTCATTTGCCAGAAGCTTTGGTATGTATTTCGTGAACTGACAATGGCACTGTCAAATGTTTTTCTGCTTGCTTTGAATGTGTGGAATTGACTTGGCTCAAAGACTTATTATTGTTATTTTGATTTGAGACGATATGTCTGATGGGCCTTACAGCAACACTGGAAACAACAACTTTTAGAGATTCTGATCTTGAAACAGTTCTGATTACAATATTAATTAATATCTATCACTGAATCTGAACTCGAAACAATGACTACATTTTAAATTGTGAATGCTTCGTTGACAACAACGTCAGTGTCACTGAGATCAGATCAAATTCCTTTCACTGACTCAGCTCTTATTTAGTTGATTGATTATTCATTCGGAATTCAGCTGTGCTCAACTAAGTCAAGCTGTCAGCCAAAAGAAGACGTCAAGTGATCACCTGTGACTTGATTGCCGGATTGTCTGGCATAATAGTCCGCTATCACTTGTTGTTTTGGTTGCTGAATATTGGCCCTGACTGGCTGAAGCTGCCTGACATTGACTGCCTGCAGCCTGACTCTTAACTTTGACCTGTCAATTATTCAAATGTTTATCATCACAGGATTAAATTCTTATTTTGTTTTGTTTTGATTTGCATTCTATTATTATATTACAGCCTTTGCAGCTGTTACATACATTGTACATCTCGATAACAATGCTATGACTGTGTATGCGGACTGACTGACTGACCTCACAGCTCAGGACAGTCAGTGTCAGCAGTCAGTATGGAGGATGCCCAGGAAGTGCCTGCGGACGATGCATTCTTAGCCCAAGCTCCAGGAACCCCTGTCCTGCCATTGGTGAACAATCCAGGACTGGCTAACCTCACATTAGACAACGAGGATGGCATTTTTTTGTCCAAGAGTTGCCAGGTATTGACCAATGATGATGGTCAAACAATTGTACTCTGGACTCTCAAGTACTGCTATGACCAATTTGTAAACTTAGGTGAACAGCGCAAACTGAACAAGTGGTGCAAAAGCCTTCGAGATACAGTCATTAATAGTGGCTTGTGGCCTTCTTTCGATTCTGGTGTTGATTTCAGATTGCGAACTGATGCCAGTGACCAAGATTCAATGGCGTCGACAAAGGCACTGTTGTCATTTTTCTTTCTTTATTCCAAGGCATCTGCAACTGGTGGTAGAAATAAGGACATGCAAACGCATGTCATCAAGAGGGTTGAAAAACTGTGCGAACGGGCTGTCAGTGTGGATGTTCAGGATTTCCTGGACTTGGTTGGTGTGAACGAATCATTTTTGGAGATGACGCCGCCTTTGACAGGCCGTATTTCTGTTAGCCGAGGTGGCCGTATCATTGGCCTGTTGGACAAGTTGTCGAATCTTCATTCTACAAGTGCTGATGCTTGGAAGACTGTTTGGAAGTCAATGCATGAAAATGACATTCTTTGGTCTGAACTCGAAGCTGAAGTTTCTCTGAGAGACTTGACAATGTTTGTATTACAGGCAGACAATTTCAAGCGGGCCCATGCTACAAAAACATGGTCCCCACAGCGACCAACTGGACAAGCATTGACAGCAATGGTCCGATCATTGATTGTTTTTTTGTCAAACCGACTTGAAGTGTCTTTGCGCGTTTACCAGCAGACTCATGACACAGACCGAGCTGCGCCGGCAAGACATTTCAGAAGGCAAGATGGCACAAAACGGACCAGCATGTCATTGGATGCAATTTGGGAGACATTGAATGCTGATGATAGTGGTGTCTCAGCTAGAGACTCTCTGAAAGTTCAAAAGAATCCCAGGCTGTCAAACAGTGGTGGTTCGTCAGAGAGCAGCATCGACTTCTGGATCCGTAAGGTCGCCCAAATGCATGATGATCAAGTGAATCTGAGTTTGGTTGGTGCATATCACTTCAACATGGTCAGCGATGCTTCAACACATGCTGGTGGCAAGAATATTCTGGTCTCGTTGCTTTGGACGCACGAAAATGCGACTGCATTGTTTGCCAATTTGCAAATGACCTTGCCTGGCAAAGAAATTGCCCCAGATGAATGGAATTTGGAATCGTTAGTCGAGGCCCTGGCCAAGGAGAGGTTGACTCAAGAGAATGAATTCTAAATCAATAGTTACTACTTATCATCACTAATTGTTGAGCTGACCTTGAGAAAATTGTTATTTTACAATGCCAGTGGCCAGCCATTTGACGACCCATGCCAGGAGCGCAGACTTGTGAGACTATCTTCTCTTCGTCTGAACCTGGCAACAAAGGGCCGGGTTCCAAGCCTGGATTTTTTCAAACCTCCTGAAGGACTCATCCTCCGACAGATTCAGCCCAATGAAGAAAGGGTTGTCTTTATGTCAAATGAGGGCCGCAAGCTGCAAGCAGGTTTTGAGCAAAAGCAACAGTTCCTCATGGTTGGTGATTCTGAGGAGGCTCAGGTCCCTGAACCGCAAGTGCAAATGTGCCTTCCTGGCTCAGCGAACTGGTGGTCCACTGTCCCAATGTTGGTGTTGCAAATGGATCAAGGGAGCCCAGGCTGTGCAGGAAGTGCGTGACCTGGACTTGAATTTATTTAGTGGCACTTGATTGAAGTTTTTTTTTGGTAAACCTTGTCATTATTATCTTTGCGCCTCGACAGTGCCATGACCCCTTTTTCATTAAATGAATAATTCTCCGGATTCATTGTGATTTGATTCATTTATTATGAACTGTGAATGTGTGAGATGATTGTCCATTAGTGTGACATGATTCTCCGATTTCATTGTGATTTCATTCATTGATTATGCATTGTGAATGTGTGAGATGATTCTCCATGAGTGTGACATGATTCTTCAATGTCATTGTGATTTGATTCATTGATTATGCATTGTGAATGTGTGAGATGATTGTCCATCAGTGTGACAATGATTCTCCAAGATGCGTGATTGAGGTTTGCCATTCACAAATTGGGGCGTTTGATTCATGTCCGGTGGGACATTTTTCACAGGGCAGTCAATGATGTCAAGGGCGCTCTGGCAGATTCAGGAAGCCTTTTTTTGTCCGCTCAAATGCATTCGACGTATTTGTGGGCTCTTCAATACCGTCCTTTTGGAAGTGGAGGTTTCATGGAGGAAAAGAAACGGATGATGGATCATTTCATGGCTTTGCAAACCGAAGACTACGGACCGTTTATCGAACAGCTGCAGCTCTTCAAATTGGACTTGGGACTTCCTGAGCACACATCGCCGCAAGAGGTTTTTGACGCAATCTGCGAGCTTCCAGGTTTTATCACACAAGGAACGCTTCCAAAATTGTCTCGGTGGTTTTCATGGAATCAAAGTTGTGAAGAACAGGTCCCTGAATTCAGAGTGTTGAGGATGGTACTGAAACACTGGCTGGGCCCTGCGGCAGACAAACTTGACCCCAATGATGCTGTTTACAATCGAGAGTTGAAGATTGGAGTCAAAGCGACACAGAAGTCGGCTGGTACAAAAGAAAATTTGAGGTCTGAGTTCAGCCGATTGAAGCAAAACCTTGGCGGTGGATTGAAGTTGGCATACTATCTCGTGAGTGACCGGCTGCTGCACACTGTGCGACTCATTGCTGCAGCAACCAGGCCAACTTGGACTTGGTATGCGGACACAGTCAAGTCAGTGAAATCTGCTGAAGACACAGTGAAGCAAACCACAGAACTTCAGAAGTCATGGGCGTCAGACAATCACTTGGTTCAAACTGCGGCAGTGCTGACAGCGCGCAGCCCAGAAGTTGTCAGTTTATTTGAAGACCCAGAACTTTCGAGATTCAAAGACTCAGGTGACAAATTGTTCAAGCTTGTCTCCAACTTGTTGAAGCGCCGGGCCTGGTCATTTGCCAAGCAGTATACTGCCCCTCCGGACTGTTATTCTGCAATCTTGGGTGGCTCAGTCGCCGAAGCTCAGGCCAGCCATGCTTGTGTCACAGTCATCATTGATATCAAATCAGTTAATTATTAATGACAAACTGATGCTGAATCACAGTCACAGTCATTTAGCCAAAGACTAATGAATGCAACTGTTTTTTTCATCACCACTAAGTTCGGAGTTCATTTCACAGGAAGCGGTGGCAATGCTACACCAAGACTTTGAATGGCTACTTCGCTTGGAAGAAGAAGCAGCTTTGATGGCGCAAAGGAAGGTTAAGGTCGAGTTGCTTGAGGACTTGTCAATTTTGATTAGTCCATGCATCCGCTTACTTTTCTTGGCGTTCGAGGAGAATTCATTTCACAGAAATTCCCCAGGAGGCTTGCATGTGCTGAAAGGGCTTTTGAAGGTCCTACCTGATTCCAAAATTGTAGAGGACGCACATGGAGTTTTGAGGCTGGCAAACAAAAAGTTCAAAAACAGGCGGATGACATACAGTATGATGCAACACACACTGACACGCAGCAACGTCTTTGACTCACGCAATATTGACAACAAAGCCAAAGTCACCAAGGATTCGTTTATGCGGGATTATCGCGCAGCTTCCGGCAACACCAGGAAAAAGTGACTGGTCTTAAAATTGCAATGTTTATTTAATTAAGATTGATTGGACTCACAGCCACAGTTGTTTTTATAAATCGCATTTTGTCCTTTTCAAGCCAGAGAGAGAGATATTAATAAATAGATAATTAATTAATTTGAATAATTTGGCATCACTTCAAGGCGATACCTTGCCTCGGTTCACAAGCTGTCTGAAGAATGGGGCGGCATCTTGAAGAGAAAGACTTGGCGAACAGTCAATGATGGCATGATTCAAAAGGGCGCTGCTGCGTGGCAATTTTTCAGGTACTACTTCAAAAACAAATTGGCTCGCATTCAGGTCAGGCTGGCCTATGGAAAGTTTGGTCAAATGGCCATTTCCATGACAATCTTGCGGAACACATCCACTGGATTTTCCCATGTCGTCCGGACAGGGTCTACTTCTGTTTGGACGCAGACGATGACACTGCAGCTGCTGAGTTTCATTTTTTTGAACAGCCGGAGTCCTGGGAAGTGGTCATGAATTACGAGTTACTATTTCATGACTCACAAGTCATCCTGGATTGCCCGTTGCACGAGTCAGAGTCGCTACTCAAGTTTTTTTTGCGTGAACCGTCTCGAATCAAACAACTTTCCCGGACTGATTTGGAGACGATCTCTGAAAAGTTTTTCATGCCTCCGTGTCACGGCGACCGTGATCAACTTCGACAGTTACCACAGAAAGATTTGTTGGCAAGTGTCATTGACTTCGCCTCAAATGGTGATGCCGATTACATTGAGCAAGTGCATGAGTCACTGAAGCAGAATAAATCATCTGCCGCTGCGAAGGCCCAGGATGACGAGAATGAGTTATTTGGTGGAGCATTGGACGAACTGGTGTTGCTGGACCTCCCAGCTGAAGAGCGTCGAGATTTCGATGAGGTGGCAAAAGCCATTGAGAAAAAGGTCAAAGCTGACTGGAACTTGATGATTGTTGCAAAGGAGGCCAAGGGGAAAGTGAAAGCAAAGGCAAAAGCCAAGTCAAAAGCCAAAGCCAAGGCAAAGGCCAAGGCAAAATCCATGGCAAAACCTGTCCGGCAAGCTGCCAGAGGAGTCTTCAATTCCCGAAAACGAAGGCGGCAAGCCATTGCTCCAATCGAAGATGCTACTAACTGTGATTTGTAAACTGTTAGTTTTTGTTTAGTAGGCGTCTTAAGTCTTACTGATGACAATTTTTGATTCAGTTAGTTTAAATAGAATTAATTATTCTTTACAACAATCAACTAGTAACTAGTAAGTTAAGTATTCACTTTAATCTCAACCGCTGAGGCGGCCAGAGTCAAAGAGCCTGAACCTACTATTGGTGGCGATGAGCGAGTGCATGGGCATGATGATGCTGCTGCTAGTGGTGATGCCAGTGACCATCGCCGTCCAGAGGACAAGTCTGCTGATGATTTTGAAGTGCCCCCGGATGACACTGCCATGGACTGTTGCGCAGGTCTGCAGACGCTTCCGCCGTCACCAGTGCCAGTGCCAAAGTTGCGAGAGTGGAAGTGGAGAAGCCCAGCCAAGAGACAAGCTACTCTTGCTGCGTCATCATCATCATGCTCTCGTCCTACTGAGCCAATTGAAGAAGTGCACACTGACACAGCCATTGTCGCAATCGAATCGGAAACTGATTCAGTTCCAGCAGAAGCTGTTGAAAACCCGATGGTACCTGCATCTGAGCTTGCCAATCCAGTGCCACTCCAGCCTGCAGTACCTGATTTGGAACCTCCTGCTGAAGTCGCTGCAGCAGCGGCGGGCGTGGATCTTGTAGTGCCCAAGGCCAAGGTTTCCAGTCCAGTAATTATTTACGTTTTTCTTGCTGGTGTGCTCGCCTATATATTATATGTTTTATTGATTTTTGTTTTTTGATAACTATATATTTTGGCTAGTTTCGGAATTAACAATTACAATTTCAATGTATTCAGGGACCTGGCAAACTTTTCAATTCAAACAATGATGCAGCTTAAAAATTATTCCCCAGGCCATTTTCAATTCAGATTTGAGTCAGTCAGTCAGTCAGTGCCATGATGATAATGTGAATGCTTGATTTCAATTTGGATCAATTGCCATTGTTGGACTCGGATTGAATTGACCCTTCACTGAGTTAACTGAGTCGTTTGTCAGGCAGCGCCCAAGGCTGCAGCAGAACGACCTTGGCCTTGCCATCAGCGAAATTCCATCAACCAATGGACTGACGTCCCGTGTCGTCGGTGTAATGTTGCCATTGCAGGCCAGATCAAATTTGACAAAGGGCCAGGACAGCGGGATAAGCCCACCTGGTTCATGAGAGTTCGCGATGATGACAATTCATTGAATCAATCCAGTGGCCCGTACTTCTCGCGAAGACTTGCTCATATTGTTGGGGACACTGACACCTTTGCCATGGAGTGGATTGAGCAGTATAAAAAATACTGTGGAAGCAAACGGACCCGTCGTTGAAAGTTGAAAGTCATGCTTTGCTCCAGTCGTCACTGCCGGCAGGGGCAATGGGTTTCAAATCACTCAATTTGATTAACTCATCAGTTTTGAAATTGAGCTGTTCAGTATTGATTCTTTGTTGAAACTCAGAAATTGGTTCTGTTCCTTTTTACGTTGGGTTTTTATTTAGCTTTGCTTTGCTTCAACAACCATTGCCCAATTGCCGCTTTTGAATGCTTTGTTATGTCTGCCCTGGTGCCATGGGCTGACTCACTTAGCCTCACTAAGTCAGAGCTGAGGGCACGCCAAATGACTGGCAGTCACTGAAGCAGGCATAACAGATCAGATCATGTGACAAAACTCTGCGATTCATTCATGATTTCAAATATCAATCACTCTTATATGATGTTGTATGTTCATTAATTCAGAGAGGGGCAAATCTATCTCATCTCGCTGTGACTGAGTGACTGTGATGCAAATCAGTTGCATTCATTGGAAGGATAATAATAATAGAACCAATGAATGACCATCACACATGCACAAGAACAGACATTCTGTGATATGACACGTCAGATCATCATAGCTCGTATGTGGTTGTCCACTTGACTGCCCACTTGCAAGTGTGACAGTCACAGCCTCAGATTCTATAATAACAATGGCTCATGTGTTAATTAATAGGTGTATGTGACTGCTTGTTGCAGCAGCTGTCATGATTCCATTTATGAGTCATATCGCTACACTAAATCTTTTGTTCATTCAGTTTCAGTCAGTCAGTGGATGCTTAATTCAGTGGTGTCAAGGGCGCTGATTCACTGCCTATCAGTCAATTAAGTCATGTGCCAGTCACTTTGTGCACTGATGTTCCGCCTTGTGTACTGATGTGCCGCCTGTGTGCCATGACTGATGTTCAGCCGTGTGAACTGATGTGCCGCCTGTGTGCTCTGATGTTCCACTGTCTGAACTGATGCGCCACCTTGTGCACTGACGTTCCATCATGTTTTGATTTGCAGTGGTGACCTGGTGTGCAACCCAACCTGTGTGCACGCATTCATTTAATGTTGTCAATTGATGCTGATTCGCGATCCTTGAACTTGCCAAACTCCACAGCAGTATTGCCCCACATCTCCAAGCTCGTGATTCCCGGTGGGAAGGAATCTTCTGAGCCACGCGGAGGTGTCACTGGCACTTGTGACATGTGATGGCACGGGGAGCTGACTTCGATAAGTCGGCGCTTGCTAGCATCGGTCATAGAGGTGGGTGTCACACATTGAAAAATCACTCTGAGCATCGCTCAGGGATTCTTCCAGTTCAATGGCACGGTACACGCTGCTCACCTCGGCCGTATACTATACTATTCACGGACTGATGAATGACAATTTGGTTTGACTCGACTAAGTTGTTGCATTAAACGGATCACTGCTGTGACTGTGATTTTTATTGACTGATTCATTACTTTCACCTGTGACACTGTGACAGCTGACAGTCAGTCATGTTTGGCGGATTCTCTCTCTAGTAGAGTATTTTCAACGGTTTACTGTTTCAGTCCAACATATAGATAATTTCTACTCCATCAATGAGTGGCTCATTGATTCATTACTAAATAGCGGGTGACTCAGATTGATTCATTGATTGATTGATTGATTGATTGATTGTGAGCTGGACTCTAATGTCTCACAGGTCACACCGGATTTCTGACATCCATTGGGTGTCTGTCAGCCAGCTGTGTGCTGATTTGATTCATTCATTGATTGGTGAAGCTGGAAAATGAGCACTGTGGCTCGCAAATCAGGCACATTTCGTTTTGAAGGGCCATAGTCATTTGTTTGGTAAATCATTCAGGTTTGCGTCATGGCTGACAAACTTCAAACTGACAAATGAATCCATTGTCATTGAATCCAGTTAGTGTTTGATTGGTTCAACCTTGGGCAAGCACTTGTTCAATCTCAAACAGTAACAGAGTGCACTCTTTCACTAATAGAGCTTTCAACCCTGGCTCAAGTCACAATAATTTAGTAGGTCATTGGACTCATTTGTAGACTGTTTAATGATTGCTTTGCATTGAAGCTTTTGGATTTTTTGATTTGATTGGAACAAAACATTTTTTCATCAGGTCCTCCAATCATTATGATTGATTCATGATGCGGTGAATTATTCTACCTCTGTGAAATCAATTAAATTAAATTAAACCGCGGCATCATCATGAATCATCATCAATTGAAACGAAGGGACTCTGTCTGACTTACGTCGCAGCAGATGACGGATTTGCCTACGCCAACTGATGCGTATAATGGATGGCCCGACAAAATATTCCAGATGTTGAGATACACTATTTATAGAGCGATCTCTGAAAGTGATGATGCGAAAGAACAGAATGATGCTCAATCACTAGTTGCAGGGGGTTCAAACTCAAGCAGCTCGTCATCATCGCGGTCAGGAAGTTTGACTGTGAGATCTCACGGAGTTACAACTCAGATTCAGCAGGCAATTAAGAAGGCAATGGACGACGTTTTGTCTGAATTAGCATTGATGGAGCAAGCGATGTATTCACAGTTTGAGTTTGATCCTGTTATGCGGCCAGCAAATCATCAGTACTTCTATGCTTGGCATGAGGCCGTCATAGGAGTGAGAAGGCAATTCGCGTCAGTATTTCAGAAGAAGTCAACAAGATTCAAGACTTGGAAAGCCTTGTTGCAGGAACTGGAACAAAATGGGTGGTCAACCGACCAGGACATACAATGTGTGACTCAGATCCACAACGATGTGACGAGTTGGGTTTGGCAAATTAAGTCGAGGGTCGTCGAGGAGGCCCTTGCTGAGACTTATTCTCAGTTGCGTTACAAATGCATGCTTTCGATTGCAAAGCTGACTATGACGGACAGGGTCAGGGTGATCAATATCAGTCCATTTGAAGAAGTTAAGTTTGAAATGCGTGCCATCCTTTGGGAAATGGTTTCAATATGCGACCATTTTTGTAAGGATTCTCCCGACGACGAAGACCTGTCGCTTCAGGATTTGATTCAAAATGTCATTTGAGGCGAGTCAGTCAGTCGGACGCAATTGACTCAATTGACTAATAAATAACTAGCTTCACTGGACTTCTGATTCTGCTATTTGATGAAACAATCAATCAATGCACTGACCCGCCTCACTGAGTGAATCAAATTAATTAAAAGCCTGAGAGGACATTGTATTATTTGTAATGGTTAGAGGACAATAATCATTTAATGGCGAGAACCACATTTGACTCTCTGTCTCTGCGGAGCTTATGGTGATTCAGAGAGACGCCGATTTGGTCTTGGTCCCATTGGTTCTTGTTATTATTGTAAGTAGACTCTTGCTGGTTTCACTCACTCAGGTCTCTGTGTCTTGATTTGGCGAAGCTGGTCAATTTTGTTTGAACTTAATTTTTTTGATTGAAACAGAATCAGAACCAGTGGACCATGCAATGAAATTAATTGCCTGTTAGTCAGTCATGTGCCACCCACCTGGTGCACTCATGGGCCTTGTGGACTGATGTTCCACCTTGTGAACTGATGTGCCAACTGTGTGCTCTGATGTAATGTTCCACCGTGTGAACTGATGTGCCGCCACTGAGTGCACTGATGTTCCGCCACCTGGGCACTGACAACTGTGTGCTGATTGATGATGATTGGCGAAGCTAGGGAAAATGACGATTGCTGGGGCTTGCTACTATTGATTCTTGGACATCACATTTTTGTTTTTGATCACAATGATCATTTATTTGTCTGGTAATTTGATAAGCCAATCAGATTCGATGGCAATAACTGAACTGATTCCGGCTAGTTGCTGCTGTATGTTTTACAGCATGATGGTCCTGAATAATTCATTGTTATTTTCTTCATGTTACGTTAGGTTAAACTGTTACACCTGCAGGAACTTTTTGCCCAAGATTTAGTTAGGCTAAGATTAGTATTCCTTTTGATTGATTGGTCCTCATGACAACTCAGCTGGACGAATCCCAGTCGCAGTTGGGCGAGCCCAGCAGCCATGATCAAGGGTGGATCATACACAGTGTTCCAGTGGCGGAACCAGAGCCCAAACCCAAGAAAATCAAGGTGGATCCTGGCAGAGATCCATCCAAAGATTCAATCAAGTGGCTCCAGTCTTCTGATGGCAAGCTGATCCCATTTGTGAAGTGTGCCGACAGTGGTGTTGTTCATTGCGGTGATTGCCGAATGAGGGTCGCAAAGGAGGGTGTTGTATCCACTGTCAGATGCTTATCAAATGCTTGTCATGATCCTTTTTGTCAATGCCCATGCTTTTGTCATTTGCTCCAGGCTTACTATGCAGAAAAGGCCGTAATGTCGTAGTACTGTGGCAGTGCAAGTGTGTACTGATGTGCCTCAGTCAGTGTGTGCACTGACTCACTGATGCACCAGATAATCACTGCGTTTGACTTTGAATGTATCTCAGCATTCATGTTGTCGATTCTTAAATTAAAATGATTCAAATTCATTAGCCTACTAAATAATAAATAGTAAGTCAGGTCATTGTCATTATTCATTCATTCATCCATTGGTTGATTGATTTCGCGAATCGACAACTGATTGACCTGGTCAGTCAGCACTGTGAACACTGAGCTGGCACTGACACACTTCGACCACTCTCACTCACTGACTACGACTCAGGGAAACAAAAATGATTGTCTTGCCGCAGTGTCGTTTGTCAACTTTAACATTGTCAGTGTCCCATTGACAATTGAGTCAATTTAAAAATGATATTTCTTAACTCAATTTTGTCAATGGCATATTTAATAGCTGGATTAAATTTGTGATATATCACATTACCTACAGGATATTACCTAGTTTATAAGTTCTGATATTAAACTCAATTTCCAATCCACGGTAAAAACGTGTCTTTTTTTGCTCATAACCCTTTTGCTAAGACCCTTTTAAAAACTTATTTTTTCTTATTTTTTCTTATTTTTTCTCTTTTTTCCTCTTTTTTTCTTATTTTTTCTCTTTTTAATAATAATGCCACAGTAAAGAAACCACTCCTGG